AGACTGCTGTCATTTCTAAGCCACTCGCCCGACAGTTATTAAAATTATCCCAGTGACAGCTCATTATATTGTTTACAAGCGTACAAAAGCCTTTCGGTGAGAATATTCCAGAAAAAAAGTTATTCGTGATGGTATTCTAGCGTGATAGTTTGATTTCTTTATATTTGGCTGGAAAACTACAAGTGACTATCGTTAGAGCACTCACTCCAGCATTTAAATGTTAATAAATATTTGTATTTCGTACCATCGCTCACTCGTTACCGTGATAGCATAGGTAGCGTAGCCCGCTGCCAAGAAAGTGGACGGAAAAAAAGGAAGAAATCAACAGAAATAATTCCAAAAGAAAAGAAGCGACTTGATCGAATCCCGCATCGCAGTGGCCGAAAAATGGCTCGTGAGCTGAACACATCGCAATATTCCATTCGGCAAATATAGAAAAATGAGCTCGGGGTAAAGCCATTGAAATTCCAAAAAGTGCAAGAACTTACACCGCAACAGGAAGAAAATATCTCAAAAGAGTTAAAGAATTGCTTCGCTTGGCGGAAGTGGTAAACTGCCGAATTTAGTTTTCTCCGATGAGATAACATTCGTTGTCCAGCAGTTTGTAAACAAACAAAATGACCGGGTTTACTTGCCAAAGAGGTATACCTTCGGTTGAACTCCAGAACTCAAGCGCCGGTCATGGTAATGGTGTGGGCCGCTATAACAGCCAATGGTCGCTCTCCGCTCGTATTAATCGACCGTGGCATCAGAATAAATGCCACATTCTATTGCGAAAATATTCTGGAGGGTGAATTAAAGCCTTGATCCCGCAAACATTTTGGACGCAGACCTTGGACATTCCTACAGGACTCAGCACCATAGCACTCGGCAAGCGCCACCAAAATCTCCGGATACCAATCCGTTGGACTATTGTGTCTGGAGTATTTTGGAAAGCAAAGGTTGGCACTAAAAATGCTAAAGTATCAATCGACTCGAGCAAGCGCTTCGCCGGGAATGGGCCAAAATACCGCTGAGCAACATTCGGGTAGCGTGTGATGGTTTCATTTGAAGGCGTTTGAAGGCCATAAATCGTGCCAAAGGTGACCAATTAGAACAAATCTAAAGTTATTCTAAAATTTGAAGCTATTTCCGATATGTTTTGATTTCATTCAATAAAGTTTAAAAAAATGTAAAAATTATGGCATTTTTGACTTTGTTGCAGTTTTTTTATCTCACCCTGTAATGGACCAGATGGTCTCATTTAACTTATATTTCCAATAAGTTTTTTTTAAATGATCAGACACATTGACGGTAATAAGGTTTATATAATCAGTCGTTTTATGTGGCTTCTAAAAATATTCTGTTTAATATTTCAAACGTTTCAAAAAGAAATTTTTCTCTAAAAAAAAAAAAAAAAAAAAAAAACATTACAATCATTTTGATATCTTCGTCGTCGTTTCAATTATTATTACAAGCCACAATTATTCTGTATCTTTTCCATCTTCTATTTTTTTTTTTTTTTTTTTTGTACTCTTTATTTGTATCATTTTCTGCTGTAACAGGCATTTTGTGGTTTTTTGCTAGAAAAAATAACTTAATTTTCATTTAACCCTCGCCCCCACCAAAAAAGCAAAAATTGTTAGCATTTTCATTTTCTACTTATTTGCTGACATTGCATTTTAAATGAAATGGCAAATGGTAGAACTCGATGCGTGTGTATGTGTAAAGATGAAGGTTTTTTTAATACACGTATATACTTAGTTAACAAGTTTACCCTTTTTGTTCATTCGTTTTGCTCTTGGCTCATTGCCTTTAAAATTTCTATCAAATTGTTCAAAATATTTTCAAAGGATGACAAGAATATCAAATTAAGTCGGGATGTCTGCCTGAATAATACCCTACATCCATTAATGTTTGTTATAGGATTTTTTGTAGATTTGTGTTTGGTAAAATTTGTTGAAGACTCAGGATTACACTGTGCCATAATTTCAGTGATAAGAAAATCACAACTATGCCCTGACACAACCTCAAAAAATCTAAACTTAATAGTACCCGAAAATACTACTAAAAATCTACTAGTGCTGAAGAATGTTCTTTAAACAATATACAACTAAAAAACTGCAACAAAGTCAAACGCCATAATTTTAAAATTTTTGTTTTTAAATTTTATTGAATGCAAAAAGCATCAAATTTTACAATAAGTTTAGATTTGTTCAAATTAGTCATCTTTGGCACGAATTATGGCCTTCAAACGGCCAATAAAACCGTCACACGCTGCCGAGTGTTGCTCTGTGGTATTTTGACCCATTCCCGACAATGCGCTTGAATTAAATATTTGAATGTTGAACGAAATCGGATACATCCTCTGCTTAAAAAATATATATATTTCTTTGCAAATGTTAACGTTTTCTAGACAAGGTACCTGTAAAAGTTTGTCGTTTTTGTCGTTTCAAGAATTCTTGCAAAAATTGCAGGTGTTTAAAAATTCCACAACTATGGGGCTGGTAGTCCCCAAACTATCCCTAACATGATTTTTAAAAGTTGCCGATTAATATTCTTTAACATTTTTTTAAAGTACCAATTTTATAGCCCTTTTAAAAGCCTTCGTTTTAAAGTCCATGTTAAGGAGCGTAATAAACCACGTTTATGAAATCCACTTTGGTACCCTCATAATTCCGAAAAAGTGCTTCAAATCCACGATTGTAGCTCTGGTAGACCCAAAAAAATTCTTCAAATAATTCACGATTATAGATTATCCATTATTATCTCCACCGACAAATATTCTTTAAAAGATCCACGATTATAGGTCTAATAATCCCTATCCCCCAAAAAATATATATTTTTTTAATCCACAATAGAAGCCATAGCAGGCACTGATAAAAGTTCCGCGATTATTATCCTTAAACCCAGGATTTTTTTAAAGCCTCAAATACAAGCCTATATAAAAAAAATAAAAATATAGTCCTATATAATATCCAAAATATTCGCTTTAATATTCTGCGATTGTTGGCCTAAGAACGCCTATAACCAGGGTGAGATAAACAACTGCAACAAAGTCAAACGACATAATATTATTTACTTCTTTTTTTAATTTTATTGAATGAAAGCAAAAAATTTCGAAAATAGCATCAAATTTTAGAATAAGTTTAGATTGGTTCGAATTGGTCACCTTTAGCACGAATTATGGCTTTCAAACGGCCAATGAAACAGTCACACGCTGTCCGAATGTTGCTCTGCGGTATTTTGGCCCATTCCGGCGAAGCGCTTGCTTGATATGATCGACACTTTGGTATTTTTGGTGCCAACCTTGCTTTCCAAAATACTCCAGACACAATAGTCCAACGGGTTGGTATCCGTAGATTTTGGTGGCCATTGTGCGCTGGAAATGAAGCGAGGAACCTCATTTTGTGGCCATTCTTGGGTGGCGCTTGCTGAGTGCGATGGTACTGAGTCCTGTTGGAATGTCCTAGGTCTGCCGCCAAAATGTTTCCTGCCCAAGGCTTTAATATACCCTCCAAATATTTTCGCGATGATATTCGGCATTTATTCTGATGCGACGGTCGATTAATACGAGCGGAGAGCGACCATCAGCTGTTATTGGGGCCCACACCATCGCCCGGTGGCCAACCGAAGGTGCACATTTTCAGCTCACCTCTTTGGCAAGTAAACACGATCATTTTCTTAGTTTACAAACTGCTGGACAACGAATGTTTTCTCATCGGAGAAATCCAAATTCGGCAGTTCACCACTTTCAGCCAAACGAAGCAACTCTTTAGCTCTTTTGAGTCTCTTTCTTCTTTTGTTTTGTTTGTGCACTTTTTGGAATTTCAATGGCTCATTTTTCAACACTTGCCGATATGTTCAGCTCACGAGCCATTTTTCGGCCACTGCGACTATGGTTTCGATCAAGTCGCTTCTTTACTTTTCGAACCATATATGCTGATGTTGCCGTTTTCTTCCGTCCACTTCCTTGACATATGTCGGGTAACGCTGCCAGTATCACGGTAACGAGCGATGGTACGAGACACAAAAGATTTATTCACATTAAAATGCTGGAGTGCTCTAACGACAGCCACTTGTGGTTTTCCAGCCAAATATAAAGAAATCACACTATCACGCTTAAATTCCATAACGAATAACTTTTATTCTGAAAATGCTCACCAAAATGCTTTTGTACGCTTGTAAACGATATAATGGTCTGTCACTGGAATAATTTTAAGAGCTATCGGACGAGTGGCTTAGAAATGACAGCAGTCTGAAGTTGGTTGCATTTTTTTCATCATAACCTGTTCGTTTTATTCGATTTAAATTTTTTGCTTTACCAACGCATTAATATCCTTCCTTTATTAGTGATACCTTTCTAAAGTACCTCTGTTAAATTTATGTTAAAATTGGGATTGAAATATAGCTTCCATATATGTGTTCCATTCGTTTTCATATTAACACTACAATATAGGCACAACATAAACTTAGCCTCCCATATACTTTTTTAAGATATTTTCATTTCGCATATCACATACACCAGCTCGACCATACACCATAAACGTGTTACCGAAAAACATCTGTTAAATATCTAAAAACCCTTCTTCTAAATATCCAGAATGGTTTGGGCTACCACATAGTCTTCGTTTTCCTTATCCTTATTGGTTTTTTATGTTTGTCTTTTAATATCTGAAATAATGTAGGGTATATTACAGTCGCCTCCTCGACTGTTGTCCTTTCATTACTTGCTTTCTTTTTATTATTTATTTTTCTCCCCTCATTACGGCGGCTGAAGGATTCAAAAGATAAACAATTTACTTTGATGTTGTTACCAACGTTACCACGCATTTCTTTGCTACAAAAATCCTTTGAAGAACTTTTTGAAAAAGAAACGTGCCTTGAAAATATTTGAATAATTTTATATTTTCTTGTACGTATTTTATTATTTTTGGGTGTGTGTAAGACTAGATACCTAATCACATTATCATCGAGGCTAATAATGGTATTTTATTATTTTCATAATATTCTTTTTACAGGTGGTTCGGATAGCAATAAGGGGAAAAGTAAGAAATGGCGAAAGATTCTACAATTCCCTCACATATCACAGTGTATACACCTGAAAGACAAATTAGGTGAGTTCATTTTACATTCCTTAAAAACCCTTAAATTGCCAATTAAATTAAATAAAAAAATAATTTTGCATATATATTTCCCCCAGACATAAGTTATGGCTACGTCATCGACCAACAGCCCATCGGACGCGAACTGTTTCGCCAGTTTTGTGAAAGTAAGCGGCCGCTATACTTCCGTTATATCTCATTTCTGGATCAGGTGCAAAAGTAAGTTATAGAAATACAACACCATATTTTGAAGCTATTGAATTGTTGCCCAATTTGCCAATCTAAAATCAAGTTCATATTGTATTCTTCCCAATAAAATCTGCAGATATGAAGTGGAGTACGATGAGAATCGTATTATAATAGCCCATGACATTGGATGTCGATTTCTGGATATTGAGAGTCCCTCAACGGCGGCCCTCAACAATGGCAATGCCGTGGATGGTGAGGGAAATAATGGCGAGGAAGAGCAGCACCAAAAGCTGGACGATGAAAAGATACTCACCTCGGATCCGGAGAATATCACTACAACATCAACAACAAATCTTGTAGAGACTGAATTATGTAACAATACCACCGCCAATATTACCACACCACCAACAACAGCAGCAACAACTACAACAACCAGCAGTAGCAGTAATCATAAAAACTTTCATCATCACAATGGTGAGGAGCATAATAACGATGAGGTTGGCACCTTTAATGATGGTGGTGGCGGCGGCGGTGGTTGCGGTGATGGCGGTGGTGGCATCGATGAAGTTGATCGAATCAAAAACTGCATTGATTCGACCGCAACAACGGTATTGCCTCAATTAAACGGAAATTCCACAAATGCCAATAAATCTCCCCTTGCTTCCGATGAATTCGTTTTGGACGTCCTAAATGATGATCTCATTTCGAGGGTGCGCAGTAAAATCACCAGCGGCAGTAAGGAGCTATTTGAACCCTGCGTTAAGGCCGTGAAGGCATTTTTGGCCGGCGAACCATTCCGAGAATTTGAAACGTCTATGTATTTTCATCGGTAAGTGGAATGTATCTAATTTCTCTTTAATAATATATATAACTCCCACTATTTCCACGACACAATATGTTAACCCTAGAAACCAACAGTGACATCAGAATCAGATTTCAGAATTTCAGCTTTATCCCCTCACTCAATACCAATTTTAGTAACAATTAGTATGTATGTCCAAAACAATCTATGTCTGTACATCCTAGACACCAACTGTGATTCAATATTAGTACCATTTACACATTTCAAAAAAAAGTGCCTCCATATCTCAATCCTAGATACAAGCAGAGACCTCAATATCAAATTTCGGGATTTTATCTCTATCCCTTCATCCAATACTACATATAGCAGCAAGTAGTTATTTTCGAACAATTATAGATGAAATTTTCAAAACAATCTCCATATTTTAACCTCAGAAAATAAAAATTCAGGATTTTAGCTCTATCCCTTCACCCTATACCAAAAATAGTATCATTCAGTACTTTTCATTTAATTGTAGTACACAGTTCCACAGTACACAGGTCCAAAACCACCGCCATGTGTATGAACAGCGATGAACAGCCCAATAAGAAGTTTAGTGCCATTTTAGAACTTTTCATAACCTTAAAGTTCGAATTTCCAAAAACCCTTTGGTACATCTATACTGCACTCTATCAGTGACTCTCATTCCAATATTCAATTCGAAATAAGAACTCTAGCTCCAATACAAATTATTTAATTTTTGGTATATTTAAGTACTTCAGCCGTTTCGTCCCAGCGTTAATTCTGGGTCAGTCAGCAATTTCACTACTCTACATTCGAAAAAGGTATACTCTCATTCAATAACCAGGATACTGCATTTAGATCGGATTTCCTAGAGGACGCAGTCTTAAGGTTATCATTTGATAGGTCAAAAACATATCTCACAGAAATTACGGCCTTATACCCAATATTAGTTTAGACGAAATCCAATTCATGATATTTCAAGTCTATCAAGCCATGTCAACCGTCCGTCCGTCTATCTAACTGGTGGCACGATAACTAATAAATAAAGTACAAAATGTGACCTAAATTTTGCATATCTTCTAATTTCTATTAAATTTCCAATAATATTGGCCGATTTCTTTGTTTTGTATAGTTCTTCCGTAAGTTTCCATTCTATTTCCAAAGGAATAACAAATGTTCAATATCTGTTATTTAGATTTATTTAAATTAAATTAAAACTTATATTTTTCTATGTATACATACATACGTTACCATTATTATTATAACAAATAGAAATAAATAGAAATATAATTGTTTAAAACATTGTTGCTATATACCAACATGCCAATGACTAGAACAGACCAACCGCACCGTACATTGTTTGTGCGACATTGTGGCGAATAAACATAAAATGACGTCAAAGGGGTTTCCCAAACGAAAATGTTTAAAAATAAAACCAAACATCAACCGCAACTAATAACATTTGTGTAAATAAAAATCTAAGAAAATATTTGCAATAATGCCATGCACAAAAATTATGTCATAGCTAAAATATTTCAGATGGAATTTATTTTTAAAATTTAAAACTGGTATTTATTCTAAAATTGTTCATATATTTTTGTTCTCTCTTCTTTTTCCAGTTATTTACAATGGAAATGGCTGGAGGCCCAACCTATTACATACAAAACATTTCGCATGTATCGTGTCCTGGGTAAAGGTGGCTTTGGTGAAGTCTGTGCATGTCAGGTGAGCTAGAAATAGTTATTTATTTACTCACTAAACATTTTCTAATATTTTTTATATAAATTCCTCCTTCTCTAGGTACGTGCCACAGGGAAAATGTATGCTTGTAAAAAATTAGAAAAGAAACGCATTAAAAAACGCAAAGGCGAATCTATGGTCTTGACTGAAAAACAAATACTGCAGAAAATTAATTCCCGTTTTGTTGTTAATCTGGCCTATGCCTATGAAACAAAGGATGCTTTATGTTTGGTGCTAACTATAATGAATGGTAAGCAATTTTTATTATTATAATTATAAAAAATCCACTTAATTACTATTTTCTGAAATGGAATAGTAATAGTCCTAATTTATATTTTACCTAATATTTCTGGGGAACATATTCTTTACTTTAAAAATGTGAAAAATAAAGGTGATAGGACAGATGAAAGTAATATCTAGTCAAATCCAAAACGAAATTTTTAATGTGGTCCTGATAGTCAATGATAAGGTCCGACTTCTTATACCCTTCGTCTCCACAAAATATACTCAACTAAATATGAGTTAGTTTTACCTCAGATTCTTCTATCACAAGAGTTGGTTCGCTACAACTACATAATAAATCTTTTTTTATGTACTAAATCTACCGACATTTGCGACCAGAGAATTAGATGCGATGCATGTAAGCCATTTTAAGGCAAATGAAATATCTGATTTGCAGTTGTTATTATTACATTGAGGGTTGTTATTCTTAATATTGTTTTTTTTTTACTTTCTTACATTTTATGAAGGTGAAATAAACGATAAAAAGGAGTAATTTTATCTTAATATTACTTTGTACATTATTTGTAATGAGTTAATATACAGGGAAAGGTTTGCAAACGTTTGCGATGAGTCTTGTACTGTTGCGTTTCCAATGTGGCGTCATCCAGCAGAGTACATTTCAGTTTTATTTTTGTTTCCACGCATCTGCACAAACAGTGCAAACTAACAAACAAGTCCCGTTATCTTAATATCGGTTTCGTTTCGTACTTGGAGAAAATACAAAACGAAACGATTGCAAACGTTTAATATAGTTTTTTTTTTGTACGCTGCAAATAATAAAGTTTTGCTCCATTACAGAATTGTCTTGATTGCATCGTATTGAATCCTCAATTCCCTATTCTAAATTGGACCAAAAATCAAGGTATCCTTAGGAAGTCAAATTCCGTGAAATCAGACAAAGTGGCTTTTTGGTGAATTTATAGAATGGCACTACTCTTTTTTAATGAGATTGGGTGTCTCTTTTACACAACCAGTGAACAATGGTTCTTATCGTAAGAAATTAAATTACGCTGTTTTATAATGCCATTATGATAGGTCTCGTCTTTAAGATATCATAACAATGATGGCATAATTCGATAAATAAGAAGTTTTATAAAAAAAATCATGTTGGAAAAATTAGAATACCAAATTTTAAAATTCAACGGTCTCGTACACATGTTGACCTTCTTTATACTCCTTAAAGTGAATTTAATGTTAAAACTTTAGTGATTTAATCATCTCTTAGAATCCAATTGCTTTCTTGTTTGTAATACAAGAAGATAGAATAGCCTATAAAAATTTTAACATGAGCTAGGTCTTTTAAATTTTGTATAAATTAATTAATTTTCACAATATTAAAACTTGTCATGCACATACTTCATAGACTATGTAGACTCCTTAAAGTATGCTTTATATTACAAATACTAAAATACATTGATTCATGGCAATAGAAGAAACATAAACACAAAGCTGTGTATGTACAACAAACAAGATTTACTTGCCAAATATCAAATATCGGTGTTTAAAAGAGTCTTCCCTACTTGTTCAGTGTTGGTCATTAATTACATAATTGGTTTTCATTGGATGGCCTTTCATGAATTTTGATTATTGAATTATCAAATTTGTTATGTCATCGTAGTTTGTTATGTTATGCCATTCTATGCTGCTGTTGTTAATAAATGATATTCAATCATATTGTTATTGTTTCACATGTATATGCATATATGTATGTATGTTCGACGCAATTGGAAAGTTTAATTGAATTTCCATTCAATTTACAAGAGAATATACATCATTGAATATAAAATAATCACAGAGATGATACCATACGATGTTAGTGTATGTATACGATGAAAATTTCTTTGTATGTTTTCCATACATTAACATAACAAAATAATATGATTTCTTTTACTTTTGCTCAATTGATAAACACACATACAAGAAAAGTCAAGACCAGTCAGCCAACCTAATAAATGGTTTCTTAGCAAATAAAAACTCATTTTGTGTAACTAACTGTGTTTATAGCTAGTCCGTCGTTTTGATATTTATAGAGAGCCTTTGGTAAAATGCCTATGTTTCATAAAATACATTATAATATATTGATTTTTATTAGGGGAAACTTTAATTATTATCACTTTTAAACCAATGTTAAACTTTCTTAATTTTAAATGATTAGAAAACTAATAGTTTTTAGCAAACAAAACATTTTCTTGAAGCATTTTAGGACGCGAAAATTTAAATAAAGAAAATTTAAATGGTAAATAGTTCTTTTGAATCCGAGCTTCTTCCTTGGAAGTATATTCTGTAAAAAATCATGATTATAGTCCAAATCGCCATTTTAAAATATTTTTCAAAAGTCTATGTTTATAGTCCTGCTAGTCTTTGAAAAAGTATCCTTTAGGAATCCTGGATTTTAGTCCTGATAATCCTTGGGAATATATTCTTTAAGGAAATCACGATTATGGTCCATACTGGGTGAGATAAAAGAACTGCAACAAAGTCAAACGCCATAACTTTAACATTTTTTATTGTATTGAATGAAAACAAAAAATGTAGGAAATAGATGTTACAAAATGTTAGAATAACTTTAACATTTTGTAACCATTCTTGGGTGGCGCGTGCTGAGTGCGATTGTGCTGAGTCCTGTTTTGGAATGCCCAAGGTCTGCGGCCAAAATGTTTGCGTGCTCAAGGCTACACACTCCAGAATATTTTCGCGACAATATTCGGCATTTATTCTCATGCCTCGGTCTGTTATGACAGACCACACCCTCACCATGGCCGACGCTTAAGTTCCGGTGTCCAACCGAATGGGCACATTTTCAGCTGACCTTTTTGGCAAGTAAACACTATTATTTTGTTTGGTTACAAACTGCTGGACAACGAATGTTTTCTCATCGGAAAACCAAAAAAACAAAATTCGACAGTTCACAACTTTCGGCCAAGCGAACCATTTCTGTTGATGTTGCTGTTTTCTTCCGTCTACTTCCTTGACGTCGGGCTATGCTACCAGTATCACGGTAACACAAAAGACACAAAATATTTATTCACATTTAAATGCTGAAGTTCCTATCGATAGCCACGTGTGGTTTTCCAACCAAATATAAAGAAATCACACTATCACGCTTGAATTCCATCAAGAATAACTTTTTTTCAGGAAAATTCTCACCACTGTCACTGGAATAATTTTAACAGCTGTCGAACAAGTGGCTTAGAAATGACAACAGTCTGAAGTTGGTTGCAGTTTTTTCTTCTCACCCTGTATAGTCCGGATTATCCATAAAAATATGTTATTTAAAAAAATCTTGATTATTGTTTATAAATTACTGGAAAATATTCTTTAAAAGTACACGATTATTCTGATGTTAGTATTCGAAAAAAATATTCTTTAAAAAAATCCGAAATATAGTCTGATATTCTTTAAATTAAAATCTTTAAAAATCTACGGTTATATAAGATTAAAAAATACTCGATTAAAACCCATATAGTCCTTGAAATTATCCGTTATAAATAATTTAAGATCCAATTCTTTAAAAACATATATTTTTAAAAATCCACGTAGACTTAAAAACAATAAATTATAGTCCAAATAGTGGTTTAAAAAATACTTAAAAGTGTCCGATTATAAGATTGGACACATGTCATTTTACAACACCAAAACTTAGATATTACGCCATTACTCATGCATTGCATAATGAAAATGTCCTTTTCCACCCTCCAAATCTAGCTGGACAGTGTCTTTTTTTAATTGAATTAATATTTACGTACATTCTAGGTGGTGACTTAAAATTCCACATTTACAATATGGGCGGTGATCCGGGTTTTGAAATGGCACGAGCTAGATTTTATGCTGCCGAAGTTGTCTGCGGCCTGGAGCATTTACATCAACAAGGCATTGTCTATAGAGATTGTAAACCAGAAAATATTTTACTAGACGATCATGGGCATGTACGTATCTCCGATCTGGGTTTAGCTGTGGAAATTGATGGTGAAATGGTTCGAGGTCGTGTGGGAACAGTGGGTAAGTAAAACACTCTGACATTATCTGTACAATTCATACTAATTTCTGCTCCTTATTAAGGTTACATGTCTCCAGAAGTAATCGACAATGAAAAATACTCATTCTCACCGGATTGGTTTAGTTTTGGCTGTTTACTCTATGAAATGATTGAGGGTCAGGCTCCGTTTAGGGCACGCAAAGAAAAAGTCAAACGTGAAGAAGTCGACCGAAGAGTTAAGGTGTGTTTTGTTAATACCATTTTATAAGACATTAGCTAAAAAATTGTTCACATTGATAAATTGCAGGAGGATCCTGAAAAGTATTCCAATAAATTTACCGACGAGGCCCGTTCATTATGCCAACAGTTACTCGCCAAATCTGTCAAATTACGTTTAGGCTGCCGCAATGGTCGATTTGGTGCTCGCGAAGTCAAACTGCATCCGTTTTTTAATTGTATCAATTGGAAACGTTTAGAGGCTGGTATGGTTGAACCACCGTTTGTACCAGATGTAAGTAGTGATTTCAACATGATTCTTGTATTATTGGTAACTGTTATGTTTAATTTCTTAAAATTCCAGCCCCATGCAGTTTATGCCAAAGATGTCTTGGATATTGAACAATTTTCAACGGTTAAAGGTGTTAATATTGATGAATCCGATTCGAATTTCTATACGAAATTCAATACTGGTTCTGTTTCAATATCATGGCAAAATGAAATGATGGAAACTGATTGTTTTAGAGAACTAAATGTATTTGGTCCCGATGATAATCCAACACCCGATTTATTAATAAATGCCATACCTCAACCAGACACAACTGGATGCTTCCCCTTCCGAAGAAAGGTGAGTTAAATGCAATTCAATATGGCACTGGATGTTATGAAGCAGATAGGTTAATTATTATTGGTATTTTAAAATATATTTCATTAGACATATCGGTCATTTACCCAAAGGGTGTCACATTTCGAAAAATTCAGTTTCCAGAAAAACGCATGTTAAGTTATCGACAGTAATTTTACCTCCTGAATCAAACATGTAATAATCACAAAAAGTAATAAAACTAACATAAATAATTATTTGCAAAGAGATCACCAAGTGATCAAGAGTGACGCAAGCAAGTTTTCCCTAGGTACTTCTGGAGGCCATTATAGACGACTATAAAATACTACAAAAATATTCCCCCTGGACATCTACAGCCGATTATTTAAACATTGGGAGTCTTTATAGATGAACAGAAAGTAGTTTTTATAGACAAGATAAGAACCATTATTACAAGCTTTCAAAAGCGAAATAACGAAAGACAGAACTAATAAACCCGCTTTAACTTTAATAAATGTGTCCGGTAAGGTAAAGGGTACATTTCAATTGTTGGATTATTGACTATTTGAACATGTTCTTGGCCTATATGAGGTCGGACAATAGGACTACTTTTACAAGGTTTTTAGCTGCTGTGGCTTGACTTTCTTTAAAGTTAAAAGCACATTTATGAATTTTGATATCAAATTTAATTGTCAGATAGACTTATCCAACTCATCTTATATAGACCATGGAATATATTAAGCATTTTTGACTGAGTTGCAGTTTTCACATATTATTTTTAAAACAAGTAAGCAAAGGCTACAGTCGTGTGGGGCCGACTATGTTATACCCTTCAACACTACAATATGTTAGAAACCCCCTTATGTCTAAATCCATATTGGAAGATTTCGCTTTTGAAATTAGGATTTTGACTAGGGACATTTGCCCAATGTGTATGCATCTTGCTGTAGTCGATTTTACAGCTAAATATAATCCAATGGTCATCTAAAATGCTAGAATTTTTCCCTGTCCTTAACTCTCTTCACAGGCGTGTCGATTGGCTTCAATTGTGTGATCGGAAAAACATTTCTGTTTTTGGTTAATTTGAACCGCTAAATATTTTGCAATCATCTCCAAAAGCATGAAGCCCCTGCGCACTTCCAAATTTAGACTCATTTATATGATTTGCTTGTCTACGATATTTGGCTATATTCGTCAACGAAATCAGCATAAAAAGCCAGAAGTTGCCCTTTTGTGTATTTCGGATACCGCCTAAAAGTAATGCTGGTATTTTTTCACACAAAATTAGTGGTCTATTGTACCCGCTGTCCTAAACTCTAACTTTGTGCGAGATTTCGTGTCCTTTGGTTTCTATTTGTGACCTTTATAATGGCTGCAAAATCACGAACATTTTTATTTGTTGGTCCATTTCGCCGGGATTAAAAATATTCGCGGTTTAATGGAAAATTTGACTTTTATTTAACACAAATGTTGGGGCCTATTTCACCCACTAAATGTTACCCGATGACCATCAAAATTGGAAGGCTTCTGCCCAGCCCAAAGCTCTAGCCGCATGCTAACTTCCGCTTTGATTGGTCTATAATTGCGACCTGTAGAGCAACTGCAAAATCAGGAATTTTTTCAGTTTTTGGTCCATTTCAACCTCTAAATATTATGCGATCATCTCCAAAAGAAATAGGGTTCTATTCTGACCATAGCCCCACCTCCATTCCAAATTTCGTGAAGATCGGGCCATAATTGCGACCTGTAAAGTGATTACAAATTAACATGGACAGACGGACGGATGGACGGACATACATAGCTAGATCAACTCAGCTCGGCGAGATAGATAGATCCATATATACTTTCCTATGTGGGAAACCAATATTTCGTGGTGTTACATAATTTTTGGCCCAATCAAACTTATAATACCCCCAAAACATAGTGTTGTAGGGTATAATTAATGAAAGTCTTCTACATTTACAACCTCACTTATAAACATTCTAAGGACACATTTAAAGAAAACTTTTAAGAATGGGGTCAAAATGGGTAGAAGCTATGTTAACAAACAATAAGGAGGAGATTTTTGATACGAATCTATAATCTGTACACTTTATAGAAGGCTTTAAATGAGTCCTTTCAATTGTCTAGGATGGAGTGTATATGGACCTTTCTTAGAGCATAGTGGGTTTTGTCGATTAGCAAAAAGTTATCCTTATCGAGATGACTAGAAATAAGCAGGAAGTAAGACCTTTTATAAGCAGTGAAGTTGGTCATTGTTGTTGGTCAAATGGGAGTCCTTACCAAAGTTATTTTCAAACAAACGGCAAGAGAGAAATGACTCGCCATTTTTATAACCTCCACCATAGTATGGAGGGCATATTAAGATTGTCATTCCGTTCGTAACACCTCGAAATATACATTTTAGACCCCACAAAGTATATATATTGTTGATCAGCATAAAATTCTATGTCGATTTAGCGATGCCCGTCCGTCTGTCCGTCTGTGGAAATCACTCTAGCTTCCGAACGAAATGAAGTAGGTTGATAAAATTTTACTCAAATGTATATTATGTCTGCAGGACTTTTTGTATTGAAAGTGGGCCATATACGGGCGAGATAAAAAACTGCAACAAAATAAAACGCCATAACTTTACATTTTTTTTTTAATATTATTGAATGAATGCAAAAAATGTCGGAAATAGCATCAAATTTGAGAATAAGTTAAGATTTGTTCGAATTGGTCACCTTTGAAACGAATTATGGCCTTCAAACGGCCAATGAAACCGTCACACGCTGCCCGAATGTTGCTCTGCGGTATTTTAGCCCATTCCCGGCGAAATTGCTTGCTTGAGGTGATCGATACTTTGGCATTTTTTAGTGTCCTTTTGGCTTTCCAAAATACTCCAGACACAACGAATCGGTATCCGGTGATTTTGGTGGCCATTGCGCGCTGGAAAGAAAGCGAGAAACCTCATTTTGTAACCATTCTTCGGTGGCGCGTGCTAAGTGCGGTGGTGCTGAGTCCTGTTTGAATGTCCAAGGTCTGCGGCCAAAATGTTTGTGTTCCCAAGACGTTAATACACCCTCCAAAATATTTTCGCGATAATATTCGGCATTTATTCTGATACCATGGTCGATTAATACGAGCGGAGAGCGACCATCGGCTGTTATGGCGGCCCACACCATCACCATTGCCGGCGCTTGAGTTCTGGTGGCCAACCGAAGCTGCACATTTTCAGCTGACCTCTTTGACTTACTTGTTTACAAACTGCTGGACAACGAATCTGAAAAAACCAAATTCGGCAGTTAACCACTTTCAGCCAAGCGAAGAAACTCTTTAGATCTTTTGAGTCTACTTTCTTTCTGTAGCGGTATAAGTTCTTGTACTTTTTGGAATTTCAATGTCTTTACACCGAACTCATTTTTCAATATTTGCCGAATTGAATATTGAGATATGTTCAGCTCACGAGCCATTTTTCGGGCACTGCGACGCGGGTTTCGATCAAGTCGCTTGTTTACTTTTCGAACCATTTCTGCTGATGTTGCTGTTTTTTTCCGTCCACTTCCGTGACGTCGGGCTACGCTACCAGTATCACGGTAACGAGCGATAGTACGAGATAAAAAAGATATATTCACATTTAAATTCTGGAGTGCTCTAACGATAGCCACTTGTGGTCTTCAAGCCAAATATAAAGAAATCACACTATTACGCTTGAATTCCATCACGAATAACTTTTATTTCTGAAAAATTCTCACCAAAATGTTTTTCTATTCTTGTAAAGAATATAATGAGCTGCCTCTGGAATAATTTTAACAGCTTTCGGACGAGTGGCGTAGACATGACAGCAGTCTGAAGTTTGTTGCAGTTTTTTCTTCTCACCCTGTATAATTTGTTGTGAATATATTGTTTGTTCTTAAATTCCTCACTTGAAAGTTCATTGTATTAATTTATTTATTTTTGTTTTCATTGCAGAAGAAACAACCGGCTAGAACTCAACCCATTCCCATTCCCGAACATTTGTTAACCACTAGTCATAGTGTTAGTTCAACAACTGTTGAGAGCTGATAGAAGAAAATCAATAATTCCACAATGAAAATGTCAACAACAACAACAATTACTACTGACACTACTAATGCCACTTCAAAACAACAAGAACAACATCAACCATAAAAACAATTAATTATCAAGAACTACTTAACCCCTTTTAGGACAGCCACTTTAAGAAATAAATTACTTTAAATGACGAAAAAGAAAAACAAATAAAATTAAAAAAACGGAATATTAAAAACGTATAATCGGAAATAAAATTCTTCACTACCCCCATTGTTGGCATGTATGCATATGCCATACAAACAAACAACCGCACAACATTATACAAATAATAAAAAGAAACAAAAAATAATCATCATCTTACATTTTCAAATAATCTACCGTAACTAACTGCAATTACAAGAAAGAAAAAACAAATTATATATTTTATAAAATCATAATGGGAATCCTTTTTTGCCATCTAAATGTAAGAATACGTACAATACACACACACAAACACACAGAGATTCATACAATTTCATTTTCCAAAAAAATCCATTAATTGTATAAATATTCTCTTTAAGCATATCGATTAATGAGAATAATTTTCCATACAAAGAATAGAGAATAGAGGAAAAAGAAGATCCTTGAAAAACCAGACACCCCTCCCATGTTTATGGGCAACAAACAACCCCCTAATCACATTACGTGCTAAGGATAATACAGTCGTATATAGTCTTTCTCCTGATATTTTAGGAGTCCTGTTTAGTTTATATTTTCTTTTTCTTAGAATTAAGTTTTATTTGTACACTTTAGCATTGTGTCTAATAAGTAAATATCGTAACTATAAACAATTTAATTTGATACATTTGTTTGTATAATTATATCTATATAGCACGTGGGCTCTAAAGTCCACGAGTCTTACTTGAGTCTTTGCTATTACAATGCCATTATTGTAGAAAATGTTTTCTTTGTCTTTAAACTGACCCTAGTCTCGACGGGAACTAGAATATATTCAATGCAAAGATTTTTGAACTTTGGATTTTATAGCTGGCAACGAAATCTCAAAAACATTGTCGGAAACCGAAATTAAATACCAATAATCTCTTAAGCCCATGACTTTCTAGTCCACGTGTTTAAATTTCTTGTACATTATTATTTTTGCTAATTTGTAACTGTATTTTTTCCTCGTTTTTTTTTTTCTAATATTAAGTTGTGTATTTTTTAATATTACTTACGAAATTTAAAAGACTTCTTTTTAAAAAAACACACCCACAAAAATAAATATCCAACAATAAAAACTAAACTATAAAACATATTACAAATTTATTGCATATTTACAAAATGAGCAAACAAAAACGCATAATTTATACATACTCTGTTTTTACAGAAGTAAAAACAAAACAAATTATGAAATAATTTTAATAAATAATTATTTTTTTTTTTTTTTCATTTCTTTAGTTACGTTTACTAAACCGAAATTAAGAAATTATAAAATTTAATTTTTGTAATAATCTAGAAACAAATTGTATTAAAAATTTACATGAAAATTGGTTATAGAACATTTTAAACGCAAACTATTTTGATAATTATCTGGACCCTCATGATTGTAAAATATTTTATTGTTAAAATTAATGAAAAAATGCCATAAATGTCAGTTAAATAATAACAATAATAATATCGTCAGCAATATTCTAAAGAATTGTAAACTGTGTATTTTTTTGTTAGTTTCTTTGGATTGGCGAGGTTTTGACTTCAGACTCATGGGGGTATGTGAGTTCTAGCCACTATATAATGGTCTTAAATGATTCTACTAATGGTCTTTTTAACTGCACCCCAAATGTTGTTGACTTGCTACTTACGGACATTTTTTTACTTTTCAATTTATCGCAGATATCTTTGGCTTGGGCGAATGTTTTGAGCTGCCAAAATTATTCTCAATTTTACTGCAACGGTTTGTTGTTTTTTTTTTTAGTTAAATTCTGCAGATCTGCTTCTGGCTTCACGGTCAAAAATTTCGTGGGCGAATATTTTGAGCTGCCAAAATTATTCTCAATTTTACTGCAAAGCTTTATTGTTATTTTGGTTAATTGCTAATCTGGTTCTGGCTTCAGGTTCAAAAATTTCGCGGGCTGTAGCCAAAGATCTTCTGGTGTGAGTGGAGGAGGTTTGGCTGGGCAATTAAGAGCTTATTGCGCGGGCCTGTATCACACCCCTTCACTATCCTCAACGTAGTTGGGACAAAACTACCCTGGTAGGTATTGGCAGCCGACTTTTTTCAGCTGCGTTGGGGACAAATTCATCTGTGACTGCATCAGTATGAATGCCAATCAGACCTGCCTGATTATCTTCTTGACCTAGATGCTCTCTCTCTTATGGCGTTGGACCTCCATCTATAGATCATCTATGACCTTCCTAATGGTTTCGATTACTCCCGCGATAACACACAATCAGGTACTGCACCGATAGCATATGGTTATGCTGACGTACGTGAAGGTCCTTTACCACCTCATGTAGATGGTCAACTAGTCGCAGTTCTTCGGAGGGAAACATTCTGGTAGGTTTGTATGTTCCTCCACTGCATTCCACCTTTATTTGCAAACCACACTGATTACGGCCAGCTGACCTATCGCGTTATAAGAGGTCAATCCAAAGCATCCTTGCCCGCACCCCAAGTTCTGCCGGCTAGAACCTTGAGGACTTTGTTCCTAATATTAATTTTGCAGATATTTGTGGCTTGCGAGAACGATTTGAACATGCTGTCGAATGTGACCCATAGGATCTTGAGACAATGCGGGGTCGGAATTACATTTCACTCAACCTGGACAATCACCTCTATTCTCATATAATCAGATCATGTTATTAAGAGTGTGGCTGTTGGTTTAGTGACGGATGTTTTCATATTCCTCGCGTGGAAGTAGGCGGCAGGTTCCGCGAGATAGATGTTCATTCTTACACAACTATCCGCACACGTTACGATCTATTTGCCGTCTGGAGTGCAACGAATTCCGGAAAATAAGTGGTCAAACAGTTCCAGAGGTATCACCCCACAATGTGGAACTCCCTATTTCATTCTACGGGGTTGGGACTCCACCATTTTCACACAAATGCAAAGGTTATGTTGTTTTCTGACTTTTTTTTATATAGAATATGGATCGAAAGCTATAACCTACCATGTACGTATTGTACCATACTTGATTAATTTTACACATTTTCAATATTTCCACCCACAACTCAAAGAACCAAACTAGAGATGCTAATTTTTCATCACAAAAGTTCTTCCATTAAACTACCACAAACGGGTGAGTTTTTGCATTTGTTTTTGTTGTAATTATTATTTTTATTTATAGTGTTGAGTTATTTTAGATTCATTTTATCATCAAGTCTTGAATATCAGTACAAATATGGATTCCAGTAAACACACATACACATATATATTTAATTCCAAAACCCCGCTTCTAATTGGACTCTATGTGTACTAAAATCTATAGAATTATGTGAAAATTTAGATAATTAAAGCTGAAGGAAATTTGAAAAAAAATAATACATAAAAAATACACTTATTCACATTGAAGTAATTATTTAGAATAAAAAAAATATAGCAACAAATACATCCAAATGCTCACACTGAGAATATGATGTAGATGATATTAGAATAATGAATAATTGATTTTACGTGTTCATTTTTTAATTTAATTAGTTGTTTAAATTAAATTATTATTTAATTAAAAAAAATTAACTCATTGTTGACAACATTCTCCTACTTTTAATAACTGTTTATATGTTTAAAAAGCATTTCTTATTACTTTGTGCAGTGATCAATTTAATTTCCCAAATTGATTAATATTATTCCAACATAGACTAAGTTGCATTCTTGGTATTACGTTACAACTTCAGTTTCATATTTGTAATAGTATTAAAAACTATATAATTAATTACATAGATATCACAACATGATCTAGTATAGATACATATGAATGCAAAATGTTTGATTATAAACAGAAAAGAAAAAATAGTCTATGTATTTTTTAAAAAACAAAATATATAAACAAAAAATACCGTTTAAAAAAAAAATAATAAAACAGCAAAAACAAAATTAATTGTAATAATTATAAAGTATACAAAAAGAAAATAAATAAATAACAAATATTAAACTTGGAACACGTTTTTTATTCGAACGATCTTCAGCCGTTATTACATTGCTAATCTGCTTCGGGCTACAAGCTGACATAGTTCAATGGATATCCAAACGTCCTCCACATATAGGCTTTATAGCTTATAGCTTTGTGTAAGTCGAAGAAGAATTAAGAAGATATAAATAGGGAAGAAGAGATAGATATATCTTATTATGCGAGGGCTTACCTAGCCATGATTTGCTTTTAGCGAACCAGTGAATAATAATGGGATCTACAGCTGAATATAGCGTTAGGGCTTATATATTCCACCTAACGAAGAGTCTGTACCTCTTCTTCGAACACACATAGTCTACAGTACCCAACTACCCCTAGATTCTAGGGGTCACGCGCAAGCCACAGCTATCTGCGACAAAATTAAAAGGCCCTCAAGGCGCTAGCCGGCAGCACTTGGGGTGCGGACAAGGAAACCTTGTTGACCTCTTATAACGCGATAGGTCGGGCTGTGGTCAGCTAGTATACTAGTATGGTCTGCGAATACCAGTATGGTCTGCGAATACTAGTGCTACGCAGTGGAAGCACATAGAGACCTGCCAGAACGCTGCCCTGAGAACTGCGACAGGGTGCCTTCTCATGACACCAGTGGACCTAGCCTATCAGACAGGTCTGAGTGGCATTCATACCGATGCAGTCGCGGATGCTATCAGCTGATATAAAATGAATGTCGTCCTCGGAGTCCACCCCCATTCATTGCATCTGAAGAACGCCAGCTGCCCAGAGAAACCAGGTAATTTTTGGCGCAGTAACGTTGTCGTTTCAATTCGTAAAGTAGCTTAATTTCTAAACCTGGAGCTGGAACCAGATTAACAAAACGCAAATACTTACATGTACTACTGCTACAAAAACCATTATCCCATCTAGAGGTCAGATATCCGGTACTGCAAAGGACATTTAATATGCTCACCACGATTCTTAAATTGAACCTACTAATTGAAAGAAGTAAAACGGTTCTTTTTCTCCTAGATACCTTGCATATTCTGCCAGCTTCTTCAATGAAAACCGTTTTGAATTGATTGACATAATAGCTAATGAGTGGCTGCACTTGATGTCCACACCCACATCTATAGTCATTGGTCCTGTTGTGCTATGCTAAAGTTCCCCTACCATCTCGGATGTCTCTCGATTACAAAAAATTTCGCTCTTTATTATTGGATTAGGGCAGAATGCTGGCTGACTGACCGAGAATCAACGTCCAGAGTAAACGGCTGAAGCTTGAATTTTGCACGAAGGTAAGTCTTGGTGCGCAGGCATGAGATAAGGCTGGGTCTTCGAAATTCGTACTAAAAGGGTACGAAAGGTACTCAAAATTAATTAATTAATTAGAATTCTGAAATTTCTGAAAGTGTAGGAAATACCAGAATTCGTACTTTAAGGTTACGAAAAGTTCTAAAATGGTACGCCTCGTATTATGTGAACGGATTGATCTAAAAATTTGAAATTGGGTGTGAGAATCAAGGTAGGAAAGTAAGTTAGATATATAAAGTGGTTTTGGTTATGTGTACTAAGTGTGGGAACTGTAGTAAATAGTTCTAAATTTAGAACATTTTGAAATATCGGACTGGGGTCCCTTTTGGAGGAAGATTTGTGATAAAGAGGAGGCTTTGGAAATGTGTACCACAACGTACGAAAAGTAATGAACAGTACTATATTTTGTATTGGGTGCACATATGGGGCTTGAAATCTGGACATATGGAGGTGGTAAAGTGCACTATAATTTTACGAAAAGTACTGACTGGTACTATATTTGGTATTGGGAGAAGGAATAGAAATAAAAATCTGAGATTACTAATAGTATCTGTTTTTGTGATTTGTTTTGATATTTGTACGAAAACTACTATGGGTGGTACTAAATTTGGTATTGGGTGAAGGAATAGAGCTGGAATACTGAAATTTGATATACAGGGTGAGATAAAAAAAACTGCAACAAAGTAAAGCGTCATATTTTTACATTTTTTTTTTTTTTAATTTTATTGAATGAAAGCAAAACATGTCGAAAATAGCTTATCATTTTAGAATAAGTTTAGATTTGTTCGAATTGGTCACCTTTGGCACGAATTATGGCCTTGAAACCGTCACACGCTGCCCGGATTGGTATCCGGAGATTTTGGTGGCCATTGGGCTGAAAATGAAGCGAGGAAAATCATTTCGTAACCATTCTTGGGTGGCGCGTGCTGAGTGCGATGGTGCTAAGTCCTGTTGGAATGTCCAAGGTCTGCGGCCGATTAATACGACCGGAGAGCGACCATCGCTGTTTTCTTCCGTCCACTTCCTTGACGTCGGCTACGCTACCAGTAGCACGTTAACGAGTGATGGTACGAGATACAAAAGATTTATTCACATTTAAATGCTGGAGTGCTGTAACGATAGCCACTTTTCCAGCCAAATATAAAGAAGTCACACTATCACACTTGAATTCTATCACGAATAACTTTTTTTCTGGAAAATTCTCACCAAAATGCTTTTGTACGCTTGTAGCCAATATATTGAGCTTAACAGCTGTCGTACGAGTGGCTTAGAAATGACAACAGTCTGAAGTTGGTTGCAGTTTTTTCATCTCACCCTGTATATCTATCTGTCAACCGATCAACTCAATTGATAGAAGACCTTCGAGGTATAGGCAGAAGACTTTACAGGACTAAAGGAAATCTTTATCGAGACAAACTTTGTACATAGTAACATTTTTACACTTCTGGTTCCATACCTACATAAGTTCACCATTTTGATATGCTTCAAACTGGACACATCGTAATATTTAGATCAGGTACAAAAATGGACAATGTTGAGCCACTCATCTTGACAACTCCCATTTAATAGGCCAAAGTTTCGAATAAAATTGACTTCCGTAAGGAGTGAAAGCAAAATTTGCATAACTCAATATTTTATCAACATTAGATCAAGTGTAAAAATTAAATATATCGGTTAGGAAAAACAACAACATTAAAGATGTCATATATCGGATCGCCCATTTTGGAATCTCCACCACAACTCTTGTAACTTGCGAAATGATTTACCGATGTCCCTCCCACCAACATTAGTAGATATAAACCTACTAATATTTTCAAACTTATTTTTACAATTAAGCCGTACCAAAATAAACAATTTTAGTTTTTTTATTTTGCATACCAAAGTGGAGTTTGAGTACAATTTCTTAATCTGGTAGTGCTACGTTCACCCGTATAATCCAACAAACATTCGGCGCCATTGTTTTCAAACGATTCTTCGCCGATGGCATAGTCCGGATTGACAGCAACTCGGAGGATGTACGTACGATTCGGTGGTAAATTTGTTACATCAACCCATTGACAGTCGAGTTGGGCATTATAGGTGTCGGCACAGCCAACCGAGATGCCTTTTGTAAGGGAAAGTACAAAAATAAAATTAATTCATTTAAAATCGAAAATTGAAACTCAACATTTTTAGGATCTGATTTTAAAATTAACAAATCTTACCTTGATCCCTATTGCCGCAGGTATACTTTGGACGTATGCCCGGTCTGCACGATGTGTCCATGAGACAAAACGATGCCTTGTGTCCCTGGGCCATTTTGCGATAGCTGAAATCGTAAATGTCAAAACTAGCAAACGATTCCATGCTGTGGTAATGTAAATGGCACTGATGCCATTGCCATTGATCAAAGTTGGCGTAGGGACTAAAATCTGCTCCGCCTACATTTTCCGCCTTTGTTTCGAAACGTAGCAGTTTCCTCAATGCTTCCGGCTGTGTGCGCACAATTTCATAGGCATCTCTCGACAAACAATTCTCTTCCATGGCACATTTTAATTTCGATAGCGGCTGGGTATCCAAATAGGCGCTCCTCTGCATTTCAGGTATTCCCAATTGCAAATCGGGTATGCGTTGGACGCACTTCACTACGGCAACATTTGGATTTGTGGCATTACACATTTTCGGATATGTCGATTCACGATAACAATCGCGTAGCAAATTTTCCCTGCCCCGACACAATGTACCCACAATACCCCATGGATGGGTGGTGCTGTTGCCGAATTGTTGGGTTTGATTTGTAGCTTCCGCATAGCCCAGATTCAGTTGGCGGCACACAACATTTGCTTCACGAAAACTCCAGTGTGTGGCGCATACGGTGCCCCAAGTGCGTCCGAAGTCGGTACTTATTTCAACACGGCCCTCTCTAATGTTTGGTAGGGGACTCTGGTTCCTTGGGGCATTGTTGAGACGTACGCGCATATTGCGAAAATTGGTTTCAACCCGTTGAGGTTGCCTCATCAAATCGGCTAGATGGGTCCGTATAAAAAATAAAAGAATGCGGATGTTAGCATTTTTATTGGGGTACAATTTTAATTAATTTTTAACTCGAATTTTTTATTACTCACAACTGATTTCCGTCAACCCAAGCAGTACCAGTAGTGCGAGGAACAACATTTTCTTCGTGTTGCGTTGCCAAAAAGTTTAACAAAACTCCAAACAAAATGTGACACGCGCTTATATTTAAGAAATCGTTCCTTTTGTTTCACATTTTTATAATTAATCCAATTGTGAATGAAACAGATGTGTAGCTGAGGTCCTCCATTATTGAATATAGGTCAATAATGTGTTAAACGTAATAAGTATGTTTTTTTAGGAAGTGAATTGTTTGCTGGGCCTTCATAATTTTATTCACGATATAAATCCAAATGCTGTCATTCCTGAAGAACCCATTTGAGGTTTTTAGGCCTTATGTAACATTTCTGAATTCTAGCTTCCGTGCGTTTCCTGAAAACCCTTGACGCAAGGTCTAGATCCATCAGCCATGTAGCTAAAGAGGGTATATATCATTTGATACGGTCAAAACGTGAACAGTCGAAATAACGGTTTTAGACCCTAGGTCTCTTATAACCAAATCCGTTTCAGGACATTTGGAGTCGATCTAGCGATGTCCGTCCATCCGTCTGTCTGGCTGGTGCGCTGAAAAAATAATCCGTTTTTACTCCAACTTTGCAAATCCTAATATTTCACTGACGTAAATATAGGTCTGGTGCGGAAACGGACAATATCGGTCCACTCCATCAAGTACCTCCCCCACTAAGGGTCAAAATTTTGAATAATTACAACTCTTATAAAATGTAATGTAAGAGTCCGATTGTCTTCAAATTTCACACATCCCAATATTTATATTAACCCAAGGTCTGGTGTTAAGATGGAATATATTGTTTCACTCCTTCTGGTACCTCCCCCACAAATGGTCGAAATTTTCAAAAAATAATATATATTTTCTGCACAGAATGGGAAGCAATAATCCAATTTTGCACATATGAGAGCATTTTGGTAAGAAGTTTCCAGAAAAAACTGATAGTGTCATTTCTTTATATTTGGAGGGAAAACCACAAGTGGCTATCACCAGAGCACTCTAGCATTTAAATGTGTATAAATCTTTTGTGTCTCGTACCATCGCTCGTTACCGTGATACTGGTAGCGTAGCCCGACCTCAAGGAAGTGGACGGAAGAAAACAACAACATCGGCAGAAATGGTTCGAAAAGTGAAGAAGCGACTTGATCGAAACCCGCGTCGAAGTGGCCGAAAAATGGATCGTGAGCTGAATATATCGCGATATTTCATTCGGCAAAAATGAGCTCGGGATAAAGCCATTGAAATTCCAAAATGCGCAAGAACTTACACCACGACTGCCGTTCGCTTGGCCGAAAGTGGTCAACTGCCGAATTTGGTTTTCTACGATGAGAAAACATTCGTTGTCCAGCAGTTTGTAAACAAACAAAATGATCGTATTTACTTGCCAAAGAGGTCAGCTGAAAATGTGCACCTTCGCCGGCCATGGTGATGGTGTTGGTCGCCGATGGTCGCTGGTCGATGGTTTTCACAGTGTCTTCTAGGATAAAAGTGTTTTTTTTATAGATTTTTTTTTTTCGAAAAATAGAATTTTGAAGAATACATTTTTAAGGAATCGTAGATTTTGTAAAAAAATCAAGATCTTAACACCATGTACAATGTTAGTCCGTTGATAGTGGATTTTTATAGAAACTGATTTCAAATGCTTTCTGGCAAAATATCCTGCATTTTTTTAAAATATTCACTGCCCTTTGTTAATAATACAAACCTTAACTTTTGATACATACCCTCTGGATGTGGGTTATATATATTTTGGGGCGTCATTGCAATCTGGTATTAAATTTTTGTACCACCTGATAGCTTGCATATATATTATTAATAATTTTTCGATCACAATATCAATACCATCAACCTACATTATGAATACCGACTATAAATAAACCTTGGTATAACAATATTCATTTGTCTTAGCTCATATATATTCATATGTATTAAAAATGTTGAGCAATATTTATTTTTAGCAAAATAAAGTACAAGTATTGATTAACAATATCACAACTAAAATGGTTAATGTGTATTTATGTATGTATATAAAAAATGGTGCTATAAAACTGTAATTTATATTAATTATTGTATATTATTTTATGTTTTGCAAATAATGGATTGGTTTCTTTTTTCGATCAAGGAAGCATCTAAACTTTTTCTTAATTGTATATATTAGGGGGAACAATTTTGTAGTATTTTGTTGAACTTAACACTTAATTACAAATCTAATAAAGCACTAATTTCTTCTTTTAATTGTTGCGGTTTAAAGACGCCGCGTTCAGTGATGATGCCAGTAATTAGGGATGCAGGCGTAACATCGAAGGCAGGATTCCAACAATTAATGCCAGGTGCTGCTATTCTATGTTCACCGACATGGGTCATTTCACGATCGGGTCGTTCTTCAATGATAATATGATCACCACTGGGTATTTGCAAATCTATTGAAGTAAGGGGAGCGGCAACAAAAAATGGTACACCATGATGTTTGGCAACAACGGCTATTTGATAGGTGCCAATTTTGTTTGCTGTATCGCCGTTAGCAGCAACCTGAATATGATGAAATAAAAGAAATAGTTATTTTCTATATGTTTGAAGTCAATAAAATGTACTTACCCGATCGGCTCCCACCACCACAGCTGCCACATTTTTGGCACGTAACAAGGCTGCCACCATACTGTCCAAAACCAAGGTGGCTGGAAGTTTATCATGGACAAGTTCATAGGCTGTTAAACGTGCCCCTTGGTTATACGGCCGCGTTTCGGTACAGTATACATGTTCTAAAATCAAGAATTACGAATGTAATTGCATTTGTTATTCAAAATATTATTATTATTATTATTAAATGTTGTTACCCAATTTTTTTAGTTCATGTAATTTTCTAACAACACCCAGCGCTGTGCCATAACCAGCTGTAGCCAATGATCCAGTATTGCAGTGTGTTAATACTCGGACAGGGCCATCTTTGGCGGCACTTTCTAACACAGCCTTAGCGCCATTCGCTCCAATGGCTTTATTGTCTGATATATCCTTTTGCAGCATCGCTTCAGTGATATCAAGGAATCTGTAATGGAAAATGTTTTAATTTTTGAATGTGAAATATTGATTGGCTTACTTTTGTTTCATCTCTTCGACGTTGACACTCTCATCTTTTGTCAATTCATTTGCCAATGAAATCAATTCATCAGCTGCAATTTTCATATTCACTGCCGTTGGTCTGGCGGAAACCAGATAATTGAGCTTTCCCTCAATTTCCTGCCGCAGGGTTTTCTTTGATTCATATGTTTCTGGAAAAATTTCAACTGCCAATGATAGGCAACCAACAATGGCAATGGCTGGTGCACCGCGGACCTGTAAGTAAACGGAGGTAACCATAATGAAAATATTATCACGTGAGAAAAATACATAGCCTAAGTCACATACACAACTGCACAATTTCTCGTTTTATCTTTAAATTTAAGTGACCTAACTAACCTAAATTCTGAAATACTATTTTTATAAAAAATTTTGTTATAAAAAATTAGTTATGCGCTTTGAGATTAATGATTTTCAAATCTCGTGTAACCCATCCTGCCGCTAAACAGCTGTAAACAGTTTTATTTTTTTTTCAATTTATGCCCGGCTTTGGAAATGGAATATACAAGTGCTCCTTATTCTTTGGTAATTACGAATGGAGTCATCACTAGTATTACCAAAAGTCGTTTCCAGGCTTTAGAAAATAAATCGAACTTTTTTCCTTTTTTTACTGGAAAAAGATAACTGGTCTGAATTTTGAGAATTTATCAATAGTCAAGCACTGGAGAATGTCGTTCGAGGTATAGTTACAGCTGAAGCCGAAATAAGAATAAATTAACAGCCAAGGACTAGCTGCGTTATCCTAGCCCTGCTGATCTATTAAATTGGAGGTTAACAAAAATGAGGTATAATTGGACTTTTATCTTAACACTGGAAAATTTAACTGGCCCCACGTTTTCGTGTAGCACCCACTTTCGGGTACCACCACTAAAAGTTGTATCCATAAACTTTGTTATGCATATTCTCTATTATATATATATAAAATAAAAGTAGACCGAGAATCAACGCCCAGATAAAACGGCTGGCGCTGTAATCCTGAAATATTGCTTTTTTGAGATGAAAAAACGATAGGATAGCTGAACCAAAGGAAATTTGAGCTTTAAGGTTACAAAAATGGTACATAACATCTAAACTGGTACTATATAATTAGAAAAATGGTGCTGGAATCCCGAAATTTGATATTTAGGTCTCTGTTGGTATTTGACCTTGAGATATAGAATTGGTTTTGGAAAGGTCTACTACAGGGTGAGAAAAAAGCTGCAACAAAGTCAAACGCCATAATTTTTAAACTTTTTTTCCATTTTATTGAATGAAAACAAAAAATGTAGGAAATAGCATCAAATTTTAGAATAAGTTTAGATTTGTTCGAATTAGTCACATTTGGCACGAATTATTGCCTTCAAAAGGCCAATGAAACCGTCACACGCTGCCCGAATGTTGCTCTGCGGTATTTTGGCCCATTCCCTGCGAAGTGCCTGCTTGAGGTGATCGACGCTATGGTATTTTTTAGTGCCAACCTTGCTTTCCAAAATACTCCAGACACAATAGTCCAACGGATTGGTATCAGGAGATTTTGGTGACCATTGTGCGTTGGAAATGAAGCGAGGAACCTCATTTTGCAACCATTCTTGGGTGCCGCGTACTGAGTGCGATGGTGCTGAGCCCTGTTGGAATGTCCAAGGTCTGCGGCCAAAATGTTTGCGTGCCCAAGGCTTTAATACACCCTCCAGAATATTTTCGCGATAATATTCGACATTTATTCTGATACCACGGTCAATTAATACGAGCGAAGAGCGACCATCTGAGGGCCAACCGAAGATGCACACTTTCATCAGCTGACCTCTTTGGCAAGTAAACACGATCATTTTGTTTGTTTACAAACTGCTGGACAACGAATATTTTTCTCATCGGAGAAAATCAAATTCGGCAGTTCACAACTTTCGGCCAAACGAAGCAACCATTTCGCTATCCTGAGCTCATTTTTCAATATTAGTCGAATGGAATATTGCGATATGTTCAGCTCACGAGTCATTTTTCGACCACTGCAACGCGGGTTTCGATCGAGTCGCTTCTTTATTTTTCGAACCATTTCTGCTAATGTTGCTGTTTTCTTCCGTCACTTCTTTGACGTCGGGCTACGCTACCAGCATTACGGTAACGAGCAAGACACAAAAGATTTATTCACATTTAAATGCTGGAGTGCTCTAACGATAACCACTTGTGGTTTTCTTGAATTCCATCACGAATAACTTTTTTTCTGGAAAATTCTAAACAAAATGCTTTTGTACGCTTGTAAACGAGTGGCTTAGAAATTACAGCAGTCTGAAGTTGGTTGCATTTTTTTCATCTCACCCTGTATATATAGCCTAACCCTATGGAAATAATATATAAGTTCTCCTTATTCTTTGGTATTTACGAGTGGAGTCATTGCTAATATAGAAAACTGTATTGCATGTTGAACAATGAAGTACCACAGTACGCCATACATTTTTCACATTTTGTAGCCAAGACAGACATGCGACGTTAATTAACAACTTGAACCACACTTCATAACTTTTTTCACTAGAAAGGCAAACTGGTCTGAATTTTGTGAAATTATCACTAATTACCCATTCACTGTATAGTAAAATACCCGATGAATGCGGGGTAAATGCCAACTCTATTCAAAACTCTTAATCAAAATCAATTTATTTGAAGAACGAAGTGAAGACCTTCAATATACGCAAAATTAAAAGATACATTAGTAATATGATTATACAAAAACTAGAGCCAATGTAGCCCATATTTTACCCAATACTCCCCACAAAGGAACGTTTAATCAGTCGCCAGGAGCATTCTTCTCATAGTCTCAAAGACAATATTCATGAAAAAAAAAGTAAGCAAAGGCTACAGTCGAGCGGGGCCGACCGTTGAATACCCTACAACACTATAATAAACGATACAGTTTATATAGGCAAGATACTCGAAAGAATTCCACACAAGATATTGTGACAAATAATAAAAGAAACCCATCAGGTTTCGTTCTCTAATTTTCAAATAATAGCAACTTAAACTAATTTGCTCATTTCCAATTTATTGGTAGATGTTGCACTTAAATGGTCTTCCTAAATCTGGAACCAATATTTCCCAAAGACCTATAATCTCTCAGAAGTTGCAAAAGATTAACATTTATTATTGGTTTTTGACTGAAACGCATCTATATGAGATACAGACATTTGACTATATTCTTCAACGAAATCAGCGTTAACGAAATAGTCAGAAGTGCGTCTTTCCTGTATTTGTGAATTCTCCAAAAAGTCACTGGAATGGACATTTTCGTATTTTGTCTACAAAAGTTGGCAAACTCCTTCACACATTGAATATTTTTGGATGGCCATCCAAAACTGCTTGGCTTTTGCAATGTCCGGTAACCCCCATAATTACGACCTGCTGACAATTTTGCAGTTTTTTTTATTCTGACCCTCGTCTTATCTCCATGCAAAATTTCGTAAGGATCGGGCCATAAATGCGATCTGTATATGATATCCTGATATTCTAACTACTTAGTTTTGTTAGCTGTAGAAATATTACCAAATGTTTAATTCAAAATGAAAATATGCCAAAAATATGACAAAATTGAAAAAATATGAGAAAATTTTACAAAATCAATATTTTCATCTTTAGAGAGATATTTTTATGCGATTTTTTTCGACGTTTTATGTTTCCTGCCAAGAGGTCATTCTGAATTAATGAGAACTGTCGAAATCAGTTCAGCCGTTCTCGTTATATAAGAGATTTTTCAAGCATATCTTCTTTGGTAAACATATATATCGCACATATTTTGCTATATATCCGTTTTGTTGGATGTTAACATCAATATAAAGATCAGAAGTAACCTTGTCATGGCTTTGTGATTTCGCCGGGATTTAAAATATTCGCGGTTTAATGAAAAATTTTGAATTTTTTCAACAAAAAAGATATTGTCTATTTTACCCGCTAAATATTATCCGATGACCACCCAAATAGGTAGGCTTCTTGCCAGCCCTAAACTCTAGCTACATGCGAAATTTCGCGTCGATTGGTCTATAATTGCGACCTGTAGAGCAAGTGCAAAATCAGGATTTTTTTCAGTTTTTGGTCCATTTCAACCCCTAAATATTATGCGATCATCACCAAAAGAAATAGGCTTCTATTCTGACCATAGCCCCACCTCCATTTTAAATTTCGTGAAGACCGGACCATAATTGCGACCTGTAGAGTGATTACAAATTAACATGGACAGACGGACAGACGGACGGACGGACATACATAGCTAGATCGACTCAGCTCGGCCAGATAGGAAGATCCATATATACTTTCCTATGTGGGAAATCAATGTTTCGTGGTGTTACATAATTTTTGGGCCAATCGAACTTATAATACCCCCAACACATAGTGTTGTAGGGTATAAATAGTATTAAAAATTGATCAATGTTGTCGTTCTTATTTTAAAAAAATTACTAAACAAGCAATAATATATACCAAAGGTAGTTTTTAAATTGAATAAATTAAACAAAAATAAACATTTTTAACAAAAACGTGATTTCATGTTGGAGCACCGTTTATATCACTGTATAAAAGAAATAAAAAAAAACAATTTGAAAAAAGATTTTATCTCTAATCTTGTTTAACTTAAAACAACATAAGTGACAAAAATAATCACAACACAAATAAATCATAATGTTTGCAACGAAACTGTCCATCACACTTCTCGGATTCCGTGTTCACTTAAATCTAATATATTTGAGATCCATGTGATTTGCATAACAAAATCAACGATTCGTACACGGCATGCGACCTCTGAGAAAATACAGATAAGAGATAATTTATTTTAAAATTTCTTGGAAAAAATAATACAAAAAAGTTGTTAACAAAATAAGAGCAAAAGTGATTCTTGTTGAAAGGGGTGTCGGCCATTTCAGTGTAGGAAAAACGTAACTGTCCATCTGCGTTCACTGGAATCTTTGTATTTGGGATCCATGCAATTTTCACATCAAATTCAACGATGTATATACGGCATACAGATAAAATAATTTATTTTAAAACTCTTGAAAACGATATCAACGAAATAAGAGCAAATGTGATCCTTGTGTGTACGTAGTCCAATCACCAAGTATATTATGTAAAAATTAAACCAAAAGTACAAAAAAGTGATGCACTCCGAAAAACCACTTTTCAATTTCATATAAGAATTTTCCTCAGATACACTACCCTTTTCGAATAAACTAAAATATGAACCATGACATGAAAAATGTTCT